ACACCTCTTTCAGTCCAGATTGAAATTTGTCAATAAGACGTTGAAAGGTGGCAGGCGCATTGCGTAAACCAAAAGGCATTCGCAAATATTTGTAAGTACCAAATGGACAAATAAAGGCTGTCTTCTCTTGATCTGCATCATTGACCTTTATCTGATGATAACCCGCTCTTAGGTCTATCGTGGACATGAACTTTGTTGATTTGGCCTCAGTTAACAAATCATCCATCCTTGGTAATGGATAGGTATCGGTAATGGTAGTAGAGTTCAGTTTCCTGTAATCTACACAAAGTCTGATTGAACCGTTAGGTTTAGGAACCAACACCACAGGACTAGCGTATGGAGATTCGCATTCCTCAATAATACCTTCAGCTAGTAATGAATCTAGCTCTTTCTTCAACAATTCTTTTTTAGCAGGGGTCATTCTATAGGGAGGTTCAGCAACAGGTAAGCTATTTCCAGTTTGAATTCGGTGTTCAATATAAGGAGTAGCATCTCCCCCTGGCTGAAAGATAGTTTTGTATTCTTCTAACAAGGAGTTTATTTCATATTGTTGCTCTTTTGATAAGTGCTTTCCTTCTTCATCTCTTAATTTTACGGCATCAGATGTTTCTAATTTAGCAACAGGATCGTCTGTGGACTTCGATGTCTCTGGAGATTTTATTTTCTGAGATGCTATTACCTATGGGGCCACTTTACCTTCAGATGGTTCTTTGTAAAAGAGATACTGCTTCTCAGGATTTTCGATGAAATGCCAAGTGCCATTCTGGATGTTGAGCACTATTCCAGCAGCATGCAGAAAATCAGTCCCTAGTAATGTTCGATTACCTTTAGCTTTTGGCAAAGCGATGAATTCCACAGGGATTATCTTTCCTTCTACATTAAGATTAACTGTCGTAGTTAAAGCTTGGACATTTCTCTCTTTACCATCAGCAAATACCATCGTAATATTCTTTTTGTTAAAGATAAAACCTTTGTCTTTCAACAGTTTATAGAATCTTTCTCCAGCAATAGAATTGGATGCTCCGGTATCAGCGCAAAAAGCTGCTCTCTCTCCACAAGCATTTAAAAAGATTGAACTAGACGGCACATTCGTTGATTCAACTGCATACAGGTTAATATAGTTCACAATAGGTTTTGTTTCTTCTTTAAACTTATTACATTTAGGGCACTTTGATTGAATAAATCCAGGATTACCACAACCATAGCAATGTATAGAAGTTTTTTTTTCTGGTCGGGCATTATAAGATTTCGAACCTTCAAAATTCGCATTTCTGGTTTGGGGACTCTCTCTAGGATTAGGAGATTTAAATCGCTTATCTTGAACAAATTTGGAGTTTTCTTTAGAATATGATTTCTTGGCAATGGCGGGTCCATTTTTCTTCATGCTATATTTCATATTTTAAAAATAATCAAGCTTATCGGCTAAAATCAATGGATCATTCAGCTCTGACCAAGTATCCAGAAAATGTTCCTTGACATCTGGAGGTGTCTTTTTCTTTATTTGATCAGCAATGATCAAATCTTGAAGTTGATCGAATTTGGAGATGTTCAACTAAGTAAGCCATCCTTCAAAATAAGATTTCAGTTCAAAAGCAAAATCCTTATATGTTTTATCTGCACCTTTATTGTGTTGAGAAAACAGTTGTCGAAATCTATCAGCCGTCAGTCTATAACGCTTCAACAGCATATCTTTCATCTTTGCGTAATCCTTTGAATCTTCTTCACTTTCTCTAGCAACTAGTTGATTTATTTCTGGGGGTAATGAACCAATCAGATATGGGATCCAGTTTGTTTCAGGTATATTAACAAATTTCAGTTGACGTTCAAAAACGGTTAGGTAAAGACCGATCTCATCGTCTTTAGGGTTGAACTTCGGAAGTATACGACTTAAATCAAACTTTGGTTGCTCTGCTTCTTGAGCAACAGATGGTCTCTGCAAATTCTGATTAACTTCGAGTTGAAGTTTTAGTTTTTCCAATTCGAAAGTACGTTCTTTATCCAACCTTTCTTCTTCGGCCATCTTTAAAGCATTGTCTTCAGCTGTTTTTTGCTCAATCAGTTTAAGTCTTTCTTCTTCCTTTTCGGTTGCTAAACGATCCTCCAATATAGTATCTAACATATTTCTCGTAAATTCCTCATTGTATGAAGTAGAATTTAAAATCAAATCACGCAATTGAATTACTTTCAAATCTTCTGTAACTTGTAAACCAAGCTCTGATGCTAGTAATTTCAAATCACTCTTACGACCCTTTCCTAAATAGGACATCCTGAACAGGTAAATGAGTTTATTTCTTATAAAAACAGTTTCTTCAAATGTCCATCGGTGTAACTTAAATGGATTAAGGGGGGAATGGGGGTACTACTAATAACTTGTATTAACATACAATAAAATACACTATTTTTCTATTAAAATTGCAAAAAAAAATTAATATGCATAATAAAATTGATATACATAAAATAATAATTAATATGAATATCATGAAAATATATTTGAATTGTTGACACTGTATGATGTAATACTTATGCCTTGACAGAAACAGAATATTTTTTTAAGTTAAATAAATATCAATACACAACTCATCTATATTGATTTGAATTTCTTTTAAATATTCAGCATTCTTGTAATTCACCGAAAAATATTAATCAGATGAACCATCATATTCTATTTATCACATCGCAAAATTTATTTAAGAACAAAATCATTTGAATAGCATCAATCAATAAGCAATAAAATGACCAATTTATTAATCTTTCACTTTGAAAGTGAATATATAATTAACCACAAAACCATATGAAAGTTAAAAACAATCATACAAAATATTCAGCGAAGAATAATAAATCACTAAGTATCCTTTTTCAATTGAAAACAGCTAATACGTTTACATTAATCTTTTTCAGAGTCAGCAATTTTCTTTCTTTAAAGAATGAATAAGAATTCACCAAAACAAAACAGCATTTCAATTACTAGACGCCATTCAAGTAAAGAAAAATGTATTTCTAGCAAAAATGATTTTCATATAAAAATGTATATATATATAAATGATCGCTTATCAATTCAGAATAAATAACAAAATTATGCTTCTTTAAACAATTAGAATTGAATCTATAAACAAATCTATCTTACTAAACAGAACAACACATGTTCCAATATATATTTCTTCATATATAGACTGATAATATGTGTCATATAATTATTTTATTCTTATTCACAAAAATATCGTAGGTTTCGATATTTAGTTAAATAAACATTTGTATCAGTTTCGATATTTAATTAAATAAACAATCAGTTTCGCTTAGATTATAGTTTTGTTTTGAAAACAAAATTTCCACAACATAAATTGATCTGATGTCAAAGAAACTATGAACTAAATATTTAATTCTTTAAATTTTCGATGAAACATAAATACTCCTTTGAAAACTTTTGGAAATGATGATATATTTAGAACAAAGCCTTCTCTCTACAACGAATATTTAATATGATTCTGATGAATCAAAATTATGAGATTCGGATCAATCTAACCAATAAGTTATACAGTAACTTATTATTTTCATACAATATCAATTATTCACAGTTCCAAAAGTTATCAAGGCTATAATAATTCGCACTTCATAATAGTTTTTATCTCAATAATTTTTTTTATCTTAAGTTATTAAAATCATAACTAATAGCTTACTACGTTTTCTTCAGGTTGAAGATTATGCACGTAAATAATACTCCCGGGTGGAGAATTTCACATTTGCTTCTGGATGAAGCTATTTTCCTTAAAACACAAAATATTTCTGCTCCAGGATGGAGATTTCACTATACAACGATTCTAAGGAGAAAAATTGAATTCGAGTTCTGATATGAAACATGACTTACATTTTAAAACAGCCACGAGTTGGGCCGCCATTTATGTAGTGTGAAGGAATATCGGCTAGCTCAAATTAATTGTAAATTAGGACAAAAGTGACTAAAAGTACACTTAATAAAGAATTTTAATTAATAACCACAGATACAAACATAAAAAACATTTGAACAAAAAGTAAAAATAATTAAAATTTAAGAAAACTCGGGGAAAGGGGAAAAGTCATGTTTAGGGTTTCATATCTGAACTTGAACTGAGTCTCGGTGGTGGGGACATAGGTGGCACCACAGGGTATTGGTTTGTTACAATATATTAAATGTAACACATCTTTAAAATTTGTTTGGAATAAAATAAATAATTAAAAATGCAGTAAAGGAAGAAAAGCTGTATAAAGCTCTCTCCTATTTATAAATTTAGATTTATTTTATACTGTAGTTTGAAAGTGATATGCAACAGCATCAGTTTAATTTAATTGAGAAGTTCTGCATTTTCTACCTGAATAATCTTGACTTACTAGAATTCAAATTTCAATAATATTTATGCAAATATTCATTAGAATTATTATCCATTATAGTTATAATAATTATTATTATCATTATAATTATTATTCACTGTAGTTATAATAATTATATTATTTCTATAATCTCAGCTTAATTACAGTTCAGCTAGCTTTATTGAGAAGTTATTGTCTCACAACCAAGTTTAAGTTATTGTCTCTTAATCAAGTTTAAGCTATTGTCTCCCAACTAGATAAATGTAGTTGGTTATTTTGTTATAACTTTTCTTCTACAACCTATTTTTACACCCTAAAACCATTTATTTTGATTTTTAACTTTTTTTTAAATGCGCCTTCACACCCTGTGTTTCTTTAAACTTGTAAGTTGAAAATATAGTTATTTTAATGTTGTACACCTGGAAAAGCTATCAGATTATGAAGAAAGCTGAAATATGTATCACATCTATGGTCGAAAGTTGGAGTTATAGGTTTGACCTGATATTTTTACCTGTAAAAAAGAGTATACAAAGCTAAGTGATAATTATTCTCAAGTTTTATACCAAGTAAATTTAATAATTTTACCTTCCCTACTCTTATCTGTTTATAGTAAAAAATGAAACTGTTTGCATATCATTTAATTGGTTTTAAACAGTAAAGTAAATGCATTAATTTTGCTTTGCGGGCTCTAAAATTTTGGAAAATTGTATTACAAGTCTGTTGATATACTTTTTTTTTCTTCAAAAAAATAGGGTTTGTATGGCAATGATTGGTATGTTCTACAAGCCTCTAGAGCTGTAAACCAAGCTATAGGTCGTGTCATAAGACATAAAGATGATTTTGGTGCTATATTATTATGTGATAATAGGTTTGTGAAAATTTTTTCTATCATAAGTATTTGCTCGTGCTTTTATTAAGTTTAATTTTTACATGTGCCTCTATTCACAAATTTAAGGAATTTTAAGTGCATATAATTATCAAATGTTTTTTTTTTTTCTTACTGTGCTACTTATAGAAGGCAATTGTTTTTATACTATATGTTATACCTGTTGATAATTATATGTGGAAGAAAAGAAGGTAAATTTGCCATTTCATCTTCTAAAATTGTATTAAAATAATAAATAAGATAATAAGTATGTAGACAGGAATTTAAACTATATGAAAAAGTAGTAGTAAGTATTTATGTAACCTAGCTAAAATTGACTTGGAAGTTCAAATTTTTCCTTTTGCTTAAAATATATATTAAACCAAATTGAACTTAAAGTATTTTTTAATTTCTTAATTTTCTTAAAGTATTACTTAAAATAATAATTTTAATGTAGAAAATAACTAAATATATAGACACAGTATTATCTTTATATTAGAACATTTTATCTTATCTTTATATTTGAAACTACCGGAAACGTTTATTTTAGGGGGCTCAAGGCCAAATCCTTCAAAATTAATGTATGGTAGAAACTCTTTAAATTCAGATTTGAATTTCTTAACTAAAAATTTACTGAATTTCTTATAAAATTAAAGAGAATATTCTAATCTTAAATTGTGGAAGACATTGTAGTTGAATGATGTGCTATTCTGATCAAAATGTGATTGGTTCTAAAATACTGAATTATGAAATCATATCACACGCACACAGCTCTCCGTGGCTAGGATTAGCACACAGGCTCCTAGTATTACATATGGTGGTATTTGAAGAGCACACTAGTTGAAACTATTCTAATAAAATAAAAAAATTGTGGGTGGAATAGCTCTTATGCTAAGTAGATATTAAATGATACCAGAATTTTCTTTTGAAAATAAAGATTAAGTAAAACTTAAAAATAATGTTATACTTCATTTTGCTTGGGAAATGTAATATTTATTCTCGCCAGGTTTTCAAAGTCAGTTTTTAAAAGTTGGTGTTTCTGACTGGAAATATTTGTGCATATGTCTCTTAATTTAGTCTTCCGATTATGCTACATTATTCTTGCAATTTGAAAACATTTTTTATGCTTTTTTTTCCAGTGGGCAGTGCTACCTGTTACTTGTTCAGTAATTACTTTTGAAACTTGGTAAGAATAAAATACTTAGTTTCTGAAGTGGATTGAAGCAAACTTTTCTTTTTTTATCCTTTGGATAAATTTTATGTTAAATTTTCAATTTATCAGTCTGTTTTGGGATTTTACATAGTAAATGATAATAAAGAATTTTTATTTGCTTTCTTGTTTCAATATTAATTCAAATAATATATAGGAAGAAGCTTACTCTTTATATATTTTATTTATCTTTATTGATTAAGAATGCGTTTTTATTTAGTATGATATGCTTACTTACCTTTACGTGTAAACTGACCACCAACTTAAAACTAACTTATCTAAAAATAATTTTTTTAAAAATAGGAAACTGAATTGTTTTTTTAATTATTTTTTCTTTTTATTGTTATATATTTTGGGTATGTTTGCTGATTAAAAATTTACCATAAAAAATAACCAAACTGTACAGTGACATATTGTCTGTCATTTCCTTACCTGTATTTATAAATTTTCTTTTCCAGGTTCAAAGACAAACGCATACAGTCTCAACTGTCTAAGTGGATTCAAGGAAAAATCCATGTTTTTGACACATTTGGTCCTGCATTAAAACAACTGTCCAGTTTTTTCAAATCATTAGATCAAGTATTTGTAGAAAATTATTACATATCAAGTTTTGTTACAGCGTTGATATATTTTTAAAATTTCAGAATAAGTTAGAAAAAAATACTCATATACGTTTTTGATCTAATTTATTAAAATATAAGCTTTTTAAAAAAATAATTTCTCAGTTTTATTACTTATATTTATTTCTTGAATTAGTATATAAACATTGTTTAAATGCTAAGATCTAGAAAAGGTTTCTTTAAATGAATATTAACAATAATATGTTTAAAATATTTATCTAATCTTATTAATTGCAGGATATTTGAGATCTTTAACTCATAGTCCCTTAAATATCTTACCAAATTAAGCCAATTTTATTTGACATCAACTATATTGTTCGATTCACCAATAACAATTTTTCCAATAATGACTCTTGAAAATAAGTCTTTACTTGGTTGATGAGATTACTTGAAATGTAATGCTAGATTGCACACCTAAAATTTTTTTTTCCTGTTTATGTATCACAAAACTTCCAATTTTATGAGACATATAACTTCTGACCATACCAGTCTTTTAAATGGTCCTATACACTATGCATTTGACTTTTAAATTTTTTAAAAGGTTGCAATTTGGTAAAAAAGTGACCGAAAGTGTAATCATACAATAGACATTCAAAAAAATTATTTCACCATTACTTTTTACAAAATTTTCAAGTTTTTTTAGATAAATAGATTCCACTTGCCTTTAAAGTGGTACCATACACTATATATCTTATTTGTAAATCATTCTAAAAATGCAATCAAGAATAAAATTTTTCTTCGAAAAAAAAAAGGTGACAAAATCGTAATGATACAATTGTATTTTCGTATCGAGAAACTTATTGGATAAGTAGCTTGTACTTGTTACAATCTTTGAAATGGTAACATACATTATGCATCTAACTTGCAAATTTTTCTAAAAATTCATTCAAAATTAATTTTTTATTTTCTTAAAGAAGAATTTGTTATGATACAATGGACTTAAAAAAAGCTTACAGCAACTTAATTAATTCCACAAATTTATACTGCAGAACTAGGTTTTAAGTGATAGGTAATTTCTACTAATTTACATCTATTAAATAGTACCTTACATTTATTTCACAAATATGCCTTTTTGCTTGTGCATAAAGTTTATCCTCAATAATACTGGAGTGGAGATAAAGAATTATTTTTAAAAGTTAGGAAACAGTTTCTTACTTCATAACTAAGTGTTTTTTTGTTTTTTGAAATTTGTGAAAATTATTAATTTATTTTTTAAGGAAAAATAGTTGTAAACTAAATTAATACTGTTACTTATATATTTTTTTGTGTTTTAACTTACTAATTCATTCCTTTAAGAAAAGAAAAAATTAAATTTTTGTTTATATTTGAATTTAGGTCATTCAATTAATTTTGTTTTGAATTTTTCTTACAGCAACCTAGAAAACCCAAGCATGATAGTAAAATGAAAGGATTTCAGCTTGCCACTGGTATTTTCAATTCTAGCTTACTTAAAAATTCTGGAAGAGATCCTAAAATTTCCTTAGCTAAGCAGAATATTGACAGGTAACTTCCAGTATTTTTTATAATATATTGTAGTATTAGTATATACATATGCATTTATATGAAAATACACATGTATTTAGATTTTGCATTGTCACAGTGAGGCATAGGTGCACCACTATAACTTGATTTGGTCTATTTTTACTTAAGTTATCAATTAGTATATAATGGAATTTTTAATGAAAACTATTCAACCTATTTTAATATTTAATATTATTAGTCTCTAAATCTTTTTACAGTAAAAAAAAGTGGTCTATAAGCCTGCAGATATAAAAATTGATTTTTTTTTTAGTTTATAACAAATATTGACTGTAAAAATTAATTTAAAGTAAAAAACAGTTTGAAATGAATTTAATGTAGTTTGTTTTCAATTATTTAATTTTCTATTTTGGTGTGTATTTGAAGATTAATTTTTATTTTTTGTTGTATGAAACATTTATTGCTATTGTTTTTAATGAAATTCCAAATTGCAATGTAGGGCAAATTAAAATTATTTCACCCATTTTAATATGCTATGACACAAAAATTAAGTTAAATTGCTTTTACACATAACTGCAATGCATTATTTTTCCTTTCTGCAAGATGAAAAAAATAACATTTAAAGAAGCATAGCAAAAACCATAATTAAACCCTTAAAAATTGCGAGCCAAACAATCAAAAACAGAGTGAGGCATGAAAATGTCTGATAAAGATATGAAAATAAATGCAACACTTAAAAACAATTGTGCATAGATACATGTTTGGTTGTTGCATGTATTAACAAAATAAGATAGTTACCTTAATTTTTTTAAAATTGCTACTGCTCATTAAAGTTTAAACAAATAATTCTTATTTATTTAATATAATGTGTTCCGAAGTAAACAAAGGTGAACTATGTATGATGATGGAAAAAGATATTCTCATTATTTTAGATTGGTTTAATTTATTTTGTTTACAAATAAAAGTTTTTTTGTTGAAACAATGTGTAAAAAATATAAGAACACTTAAATGTTTCTAATCTTGTAATAAATTGAAGTAAGTATATGAGTATTTTTTTCTAAGCATATTCTTTTATTTTAGAGTTCCTGAAGAAAATCTTTTTGAAAGTTATAGGTTAACTTCAAAAGCAGGTACATTAAAAAATTTGTGTTTAGAAAAATTGCTTGTGTTAATTTTTTTTTGAATTCCACTTTCATTTCTTTTTCTGTTGTTTTTTTAAAAAATGTATTCTGCGAGCATTAATGTGCATTTGCTATTTTTTAAAACTCAAATCAAGATTTTATTTTACAATTGCAATAATGGTGTATTTATTGTATTGTATATAATACAAAACTTTTTTTAAAAAATAATAGTTGAGCGCTGTATATTTTTTTCTCTTGCTTATAACAGGAATGTGATTCTTCCGCGGATTCGCGGAATTCCGCTTTTTTTTCTTCAGATTTTTAAATTTTTCCGTGGAAATTTGTTTTGCACGAGTTAAAATATTTTATGAGGAATTTAATTTTCTGTGGAGCCAAAGTATTGAAGTCCCCATTCCTCCCTCTGAAGTTTCTCTAAAAATCATTTCCTTGGGATAATACTGGTTGATCTTTATACAGGGATAAGATTTTTCTGCTTTTTAGCGGATTCACACTGTTTTCACTTTTGTTTCTCGAATTTGAGCCTTTTTTTTTTTTAAATCAAAAACTTAGATCTTCTAAAAGTTTCGTTTTTTTTTCTCCATAAATATCCCACTTTTTTTGGAAAATTCAGTTGTTGAAATAAAAATAATTATATTTTTTTGCGATTTTCAAAGATAAGCAGAAAATTAAAACTATGTCCAAGCTACCTTCCCCATTTCTCCATTTTTGCTTATTTTGGCTATTTTCTCCGCTTTTAAGCACAGAGAATATGATTTTCCATCCACCAGATAGCTCGTATTTTCGTAATTCAGACGTCACTGCTTCCTGTTTTCTGGCGTGAAAGCAAACGAAAAAAAAATATAGAGGTGGATTTGCGGTGAAAGTATTTATTTGCCCATTCAGTTAATCTTGTAAATTTTTATTTATTATGTCTAAACAAAAAACAAAACAAACAAGTCTTTTAGAAATCCCATGTCCAGACAATGCAAATATCTCGATTCTTATTCACACGATTTTAATATCAATCATCGATTTTCGTATTTTCCTGATTTAAAAATTGTGCATTGCGATTCTAATTTATGCTATTTAAATATCGTACATTATGATTCTTATTTATGAGATTGAAAAATCCAATACCGCGATTTTAATATCAAACATCGATTTTTCTATTTACCTGATTTAAAAGTTGAGCTTTTCTATTCTTATTCAGGCGATTTAAATATTGTACATTGCGATTCTTATTTACGAGATTTAAAAATCCAATATCGCGATTTGTATTTACACGTTTTTAAAACCCTATGTAGCGATTCATATTCACGCGAGCTTAAAATCCAATGTCGTGATTAAATTTTTATGGTTGTAATATGAAACATCGATTTTCGTATTTATATGTGTTTTAAAAATTAGACATTGGGATTCATATTCGCGCGATTTTAATATTATGCATCGTGATTCGTACTTACGTGATCTAAAAATTACGCGTCATGATTTGTATTTTCGCATTTTTTAAATTCGATATAGAGTTATATATTCATGTGATTTAAAAGCCTCATATCGGGATTCATATTCTCTCAATTTAAAATCATGCATGTGATTCATATTCATATATTCATACAATTTTAAAATTAATCATCGGGATCTATAATAACATGGTTTACAAGTTTAAAAATAGCACTTTTTTGACTAATTTTTGGACATATATATATATATATTTTTTTTTTTTGCAGTTAATAATGTTTTATGCATAAAGAAACATTTTTATATGGATACAACTTTAGTTTGTTAAATTGTCTTTAAAACTATCTACATATGTTTTCTAAGAGTATGATCAATGCATTTACTTTGAATTGAAGGATTTCAAGGGATATACTGATAAGCCAAAATTTAAAATTTACAGCTCTTCAAAAGAGCGTTTTTGAAGAAAAAAGTATCACAATTTCCAAATACACAATAACATTTCTCTGCTTATTGTGCTGTTTTCTATGGGAAATTCTGTATATTTAAAAAATAATTATCTGAAAACAGTACTAAAATCATGGCTTCCAACTCTATTGAATTTTGCCAGTTTCTCCTAGTTCTTGTATAATTTAGAAAATTTCCTAAAACTGAAAAAGTTTCCAAATTGTTTTTCTTCATTGCAATAGAATTTTTGCGCACTTTATTTCTTTCTTGATTATTTAAATAAGTATTATTAATAAATAGTGAAGCAAGCCTCATTTATGGAAATTAGCTGAATTTTTTTTTCTTTGTTTTAAAATGCTCAGTTTATTTTTATTCTGAACTCCCTTTTTAAATTAATTAAAAAATCTTATGATCTTTGATGAATTAAATCCTTATTAATATTCAAAATTATGAGTAAACATAATAAATAACACCTCAAGTTCATTTAATGTCAATCATAACTGGAAAATATTGCAGACCTATTTTAGTTGTAAATTTAATAAAGCTATTGTATTCTGATGACTAAAAAAAAAAAAAAATCCATATTTCATGTGTGTAAAATATTTAGTATATTATGCCACAATTATGAAATTATTTTATTTCGTAAAATCTATTGGACTACTTTTCTACTATCCATGTTGACAGCTATGCTAACATACAGTTTAGTGAGAAAATTCTACCTGTGGGAAAATGGGGCATATTATTTTATGGCCTTTAGGATATTCAATTATGCATTTGATTAAAGTTTTTTTACTTTTGAAAATTGGATTTTCTTTTTTGACAATTTCTAATATGTCCAGTAAAAATATAGACAGGCTTGATTTAATTTAATGATATTCAAAATTTACATATCTTTTATTCACTCTGAGATTTTATAGTGATATGTTGTTTGAAAGTGCATTTAACTGTTTTCCATGTTATATATAGTTTCATATTTAAACGAGACTTTCTTTTATGTCAATATCTAATATTCTATATCATTGAATGTTAAATGTCAATATCTAATGTCAATAATGTCAATGTAATGTTTAATGTCAATATCTAATATTCATATCTATATCATTGAATGTTAAAACTGAAATAAATTAAATTATTTGATTTACCATGGTATTAACAATTTTGATAAAATTACTAATTCTTGATTTGCGTAACTAGCACAAAAATTGGATACAAATTATTTTCTATGTTTTTATTTTAAAAACTCTATTCTGCTATCAGGAACATCAGCCACTACAAATAAAACTGGTAGTATATTTGATGCTATGGATTATCAAAGCCAAAATGAATCTTCAGGACAAGCCTTTAGACCAAGTCCTTTGATAAGTTCTGCACCCTCATGTTCTAACCATGTTCTTGTAAGTATTTTTTTTAAAATATAAAATAATTATACTTTTACTTAAAAATATTGTTTTTTAATTTTCAGTAAAACAAAATGTTTTTTTGAATTAATAAAATGTTGAAAATGGTGTTACTTAAAAAATATTTTTATTTTTCATAAATTTTATTTTATTATTTTATAAAGTTTTTGGAAATTATTTTGCACTGTTTTGCCGATAGAACCATGTGTATCAATTTAGAGCCTCAGGCTCAAATAAAAAGGTGTATTCAATTTTAAAAAACAATTTTAAAAATTATATTAAGAGAAAAAAAAGTGTAAAATACATCAGAACAAAATATTTTTTTTTAATAACAATGGCAATTTTTTTTTAAAATTAAGACCATATTGAACTGCAATGATAATTTAGTTCAAATATTGAAAACTGTCCTATAGTATTGTAATTTTTTTTTTATTAATTAATTTTTTTCAGATTTTTTATTAATTTATTATAATTCAAATCAGAAACTTTAATTAAAAATTAACTGTATAAAATAATAAAAATTTATTAAGAAATAAATTTTAATCATATCTTTATTTCATATTATATTTTTAAGTTAGGGGCTTAACAATTAAAATATATAATTTTTTAATAAATGACTAGAGTTGGTATCTTTGGTCAAGATTGGTGTGCGACTTTCCAGAGAACTCCTCCAGACATCAGTCTCGCTTTGTGTGGGATACTATGGTTACAAGAAAAAGTCTCTTCGAATTGGGGTGTGAGGTGAATAGTTTTGTCTTAATCTTGGCATAGGTTGGCGTGAGTAAACCAATCGACACATCCTTTGTTCCATTGCACCCCCATTAGAAATGTGCAAATGTGCTCTTGCTTGTTACAGGGATGAGAGTTTTCCGCTTTTTTAGCGGATTTCCGCTTTAGTCTCTCGAATTTCAGCTTTTCCGCTTTTTATAAAAATTCAGTATGTTGAAATAAAATAATTATATTTATTTTCAATTTTCACAGGTAAACAGAAAATGCAAACTACCTTGTGATGCCAGAATTGGCATACACATATT